GCATGTTTCAACCATGATGTATTTGGTAATGGAAAGAACAAACAGAGGATAAAAAGGCAAGACTGTGAATTGGAATTTAAAGAAAGTTTGATAAGAAACAAAATATTCATGCATTTGTGGCCAGGAATAAGATGGTTTCTTATATTCCTAGATGATGTTACAGGTATCTTCAACAGGAGTAAAGAAATGGGAATAGGTGTATAAACAGCAGATTTCACACTGGAGCTAAAACCAACCCATATGAATAGTAACAGAGGAAAAAACAAAGCCCCAAACCTAAAAATTTTAGCTGGTTCGAGTCCTGCAGAATGAGTCATAAGGTTTGGCACAGTGCTGCTTTGCAAGATCATTTTCAGAAGCAGTGGAGAGGGCAGGTGATCTATTTTATCTGATGTCACCTCTTAGAAGCAAGGAGCTCTGCTGCAATTTTTTTAATTTTCAAGTAGCGGGATGGTACAAAAGTTGTATTTAATAATGAATTCTCATCAGGGAAAACACTGTCCAATATACTTGGATATTATGGAGACAGTAAGCTCTTCCATGAGCGTGCATATGCAAGTGCTGTCGGTGGGAATGTGCGACAACCAAAAGTGGGAGCTCCCAGCATCCAGTGTGTTGGGGCTGAGCTGAGCTGGAAATTTTGTGTTCTGGGCAGTCCCACTTGGTAGCTGAGCTCTTGCCTCTCTCTAGTGAGGAAACACGGAGAAAGAAGTTTAAGGTAGTGGGTTTTTTTCCCTTCACAATTATCACCTAGTGCTTTGTAATAGAATACTAGATAGCTGTATTATCTCCCTCCTGGGATCCCTCACTAGACAGAAATTTTGTTCTTGATTGGGATCTTTACTTTTCAGTGCCCAAGATAGCGTACATAAGCTAGTAATCTGTTTTCAAATGGAATGAAGGCAATCACACAGACCTTTAAGTTCTCCTTGATGATGATAAGATTTTAACTAGCAATGAGAAAGATGACTGGTTCTTCCAGCTGATTCTGGCAGCTGCTTCTTCCCTGTTGGTTTCATCACAGTTCTGTCTGTCATTCATGCTCACCCGTTGTTGTATGGAGCATGTTGCATGCACCACAGCTGCTGGGTTTTGAGTTCCTGATGAACTTGGGCCAGAAGCTTTCTCGGGAGCTGAAACCTGTTGCGGCAGGGTCTGGCTTTGGCCTGCTTCACCCTGTGCGTTTGCTTATTCTGATAGAAAAAAATGTAATCACAAGATGTATCCCTGCTATAATTCTTGATGTGATGAATGGGGTTTTAACCCAAAGGAAACTGTAAGAAAATAGTGTTTATGCTCATTCAGTGCTCTTGTTTTCTCTAAGTTAGTGGTATAATATGAAGTAGATCAAGCAGATTAGAGAAGCAGGTGTGTAGGCAAGAAACAGCTTTGAAACTTTTCACACTCTGGTTGGGAGAAATAGACTTTTACTTTTACTTAAGGTGATGTTCATCATGATGATATTTTGTGCTAGAGTTTTTCCCCTTTTGTCCTGCTAACTTTATATAGGAAAGATCCCAGGAAAGTATCAATGCCAATACTGGCAACTTTTTAGAGGCTTTCTTAAACCTCTTATTTCACAGAAATCTATGAAGTTTCTGGCTGGATTGTCCTTTTCTAACCTAAGCCTTTCCTAAGAAATCCAGCAATTTTCCACTTGAAAATAGCTATGGGTAAAGTCACACACTACTTTCACATAAGATTAAGGGTTTGACAAGGGTAGTGGGAACAAAGAAATTCCAAATTAAATCTGCTCCGTATTTAAAACCCCCTCTCCCAGCCCCCTATTGCACAATAGCAAGCTTTCCTAATGCAAGTAGGTTGTTGATATACTTCCAAAAAGAATTCCAGTTAGCTGAGAGATGGGATTAAATGGATTAAATAGCCTCCTCGTTTTTCAGTGGAAAAAAAAGGAGTTTGGTTGAAGGCACGTATAAATGCGAACGTAAATGATTTTGGACTAGATTGGCCTTCTGAACAACCTCAGATTGCCTTGCAAATTAGCGTGCCCCTTCTCAACGAGGCCCTGCATGTTGGTGATGAGTGTGTGTGCCTGCCGACACGCACGTGTGGGGCAGTGGGTGCGTGGAGTTTGCACTGTAGCCATGGCCATTTCAGTAGGCTACAATTGTGGGCCGGGAGGTAGGCTATCAGTTGGGTAGAAAAACTGCAAAGAATATAAAATGGTGCAGACTGCTCTGTGGCCAGTCTGTCTCCATTTAGTCCAAAACTGGTGTACCCTACTCAACCAGACCCAAGCCCTGGGAGAGGCTGAGAATCTGCAGTCCACCAGCCTATTCCTACACTAGCGTTTCTGGTGGCCTCTTCCATTTTGGTGCTGTGTTGTGTGGTTACTAGGTGTTACCTTCTCATCCTCATCACAGACACCTGATGTGGTATGAAAACCAACATTCTCCTTATTTTAGGTCTTCTCATGGACTTCTTTTCCTAAAAATTTATAAGGCATCAACTTTGTACAAAGTACATAGAGATTCTCCCTAACTTACCCTTCCTTATAAAGAAAGCTGATTTCTCCTCAGTGCTGCCTGTCATGTCTTACTTTCATTTTTCTGACCCTTGAAGACAGGAAATAGCAATATAAAGCTCCACGCCAAGGTCTGTCAGCAACTGGTAACTTGATGTGTGGCAGATAGTTACTGGAGTCATGACTTATGTATGGACAGCATGACTCTGTAGTAAACCTATCTTCATCTTGACCATTTCATGGCATCCTTTGTAATTCTTTATCCTGTGAAACTTCTTGAGCACTTGTTCGAGCAGCAGCAGTAGTGTTACTAATTGTTCACCTATATCCAAAAGACCCATTCTGTTGCTGGAAAGATATAGATACTACCATATACTTAGGGTAGCATTGATAATGAAAAAAAAAAAAAGAAAAAAAAAAGGTGGTGGGAGGGGTTGGGGGGGAGGCAAGATTAGTGGTAGCACATGAAAATTGTCAGGAATCCCTAAAACTTTTTTTTTGGCTTCTTTCTAAGGTCTACTAATTTGCCTTAACCTATTGCTGTTATGAAGAGTCACATCTAAGAGGCTGAAGACTAATGCATCCCAGATCTCACTTACGCATCCAGTCTAACTGGTCTTAAGTATAAGCAGTGGAGTAATTTTGTATTGTGTGCATGTTTTCCCTTTAAAAGCAGACTTCATGCTGTCTTTGATTTCTCTATTAATTTGGAAAGCATGCGCCAAGAGTAAAATTTGTTTCACATTTGTTTCAAATTCAAATTAAATCCCTTCACCCCCAACCAAAGAATTTGCAAGGAAAAAAACAAGGCGGAGGGGGGGGGGAGTTGGTGACCTTATCATGACTGGATCTCATCCTGATCAAGGGCCAAATCTTTTTAGCATTGAAAGGAAGTGAAAACAAGAATTAAGAACTTTCTCTGATTACCACTGGGGTAAGGGTGTTCTCCTCTTTCCTCTACCTGCAAGGAAATGCTTCAAAGCAGCCATTTATTCAGGCAGTGTAATTCTTATCTCTTTTTACTGACTGGCTTACATCTTTTATTTTACCTTAACACTTGGGCCTGTGTCCCTCCCACCTGATTTTATTCACCTGAGACACACATCTTCGGAGGGTGGTGAATGATTGCTTCCTGGAGAGGAAGAGCAGAGAGAGACGGGCATACCCCAGCGGCGACATAAGGCACCTAAGATACGAGTTATCTCCTTGCCATAGCCCTCTTGCTCGCTTTTTCTCCGTCTTCGTTGACCTGGTAGGGTGACTTTGCTTCTAACTTGGTGTAATAGATTAGATAAGGAATATAAGTACCTAAAATTAGTACCTCGGGTTTTTTTAACTGTAAGTCGACCAACTAGAGCAAAGGAAAAAGGGAGAGACAATGTAAAAATGAAAGTTAGCTGCGTAGCTATAGGGGTACTTAAGTGCTTGCCTAACATTCATGTCTTTGAAAATCTGCCTTCAAGGAAAACAATGCTGCACTGTGCACAACCTGTGCAAAAGTTAGCAAACATTTGGAATGTGTTTGGAAGATTAATAATGTAATTTTCCTCACCCTGTGGGTTTTTTCCTTTTTTTTCCCCCCCATAAAGCAGTGTACTAGGGGCTCATCAGGTTGTGCATTAGATAATTGAGCTGTTATGCCAACAGGCTGTGCTGAAAGGTGTTACATCAGTGATTTCTTTTTCATCCCACTGTGCTTTGATCTCCTGCTATAAAGCAGAAGATCTAACAGTGGAAACTTTTGAAGATGATAGATGAATTTTGCTAATCCACTTTTCATAATCCTTACGAAAAATGTCTGTCCTTATCCATCAAAAAAGATTTAATAGCTGTTGTCTCTAGAAAGTCACATATTATAAGGATTGCAAACTATGGAATTACTGTTATGAAATATTTTGCTGTGTGTTTTGAAATGTTGTAAATACTTTACCATAAATGAATAAAGATGCTTCTTTGATAACCATGCTTTGTTGTATTTTCTCACTAAAATGCAAAACTCATTTGCAAGAGAGCACTGTGCAATGGTGATTATTTGCTGTCCTTATTGCCGTTAATTGCCCTACTTTAATTTCGTATTATTGGAATTCACGGAAACAGTCAACTTAATCCAAATATACTAATTCCAAACATTATATGGTGCTGAAACAAATGGTAAAAGTCTTCACTCACAAGATGTAAAGCATTGTAGCTGATGGAACCATTGCGACAGTAAGCAGTGTGTAGAATTCTCTTTGCAGAATTTGGGGCAATAAAATGTGGCATCTACTAGGAAGGAACAAGTGCCTGTGCTTGTCCCTGGGTGAAATTCACACTTATATCATCCAGATGAAATCAGTAAAGTTACTGCAGTTGCCCAGGATTTCATCCAGCACAGTCTTCTCCACAGTCTTCTTTCATTAGTTGAGTTCCCTACGTCTCTGGAAAACTGTGCTTACAGAAAATTGTCAGCAATGCTTCAGATTATAAAAAGTATTCATCAGGTCTGATTATATTTTATCTCTTTTCTTTACAATAGCTTTGGGCCAGATAATGCTCTATGTTGATGGCATGAATGGAGTAATAAATCATAATGAAACCATCCAATGGCTGTACACACTTATTGGGTCGAAGGTAAGACAGTCTCCAAAATTCTCATTTTATATGTGTTTGGTGTTCTTTAAATGCATTTTATTTGTATTATGTAAGCATTTAGGATATAAACAGACTGTGTGTTAGGTTCTAAATGAGTACATAACACTCTGCATGGAAACTAGGGCACACTGAGCTGTTATTTCTTTTCTACTGTTTTTATACTCTCTTGTGCTGTTGGCCCATACTCTGCTTTTAAAAGCAAAGATACCAAAGATGCCCTCGTTACTGTCTGTGCTGCCATTGCAGTTGCCCATGGAGGAGATTTTTTAGTCTAGCAGTTGCAGTTCTCAAGACATTCTTTGAAACTGCTTTTTGGGGTGGTTTTTTTTTCCCCTTTCCATTCCATGAATGCAAATCGTTTTCTACAGTTTCACCATTCTACACTGCTCAATTTTGCTGAGCGCTGCGGGAGGACAATTCAGAGTGACTTCCTTTTTAGAATAAAATAGTTCAATTGGGAGGGACCTACAACGACCATCTAGTCCAACTGCCTGACTGCTTCAGGGCTGGCCAAGTTAAAGCATGGTATTAAAGGCATTGTCTAAATGCTTCTTAAACACTGACAGGGATGGAGCGTCGCCCATCTCTCTAGGAAGCTTGTTCCAGTGTTTGACTACCCTCTCTGTAAAGAAATGCTTCCTAATGTCAAGTCTTCTTGTACCTGAAGAGCCCTAGAAGACAAAATCTGGCCCCTGCCTACAGGGGATTCTTTGGTGGTCCCTACATACAAGAAGGCAAAAGCTGAAGGCCAGAATATATGCTGCTTGGGTTGGTCTTCTCCAGTGGAGTAGTGATTCAGATAGTGCACAACCTACATTTAAGGTTGTCTTTGCTGGAAGATGAAAAGGAAGCAGAGCACAGATTCTGTTGGCATGCCATCCTGAAGGGCCATAGGGTAGGTAAACCCACAAATACACCACTCTCCAGTCTGTTGGCTCTCCAGCTTTTAAGGCCTGCAGGGAATGCTGCTGGTCTTGCCATGTAAACCTGCTTGGGCTAGATCTGTACGATACAATAGCCAGAATAGGGTATATTAGCTATTGATAGAAACTCAAAAGTTGCTGTAATTGGTGGAATTGAATCCATAGTTAGAATTAATACGAAATTTCCAGGAACTTTTTCTCAAGTGGCTGAGTCACCGAATGTTGCTGTTGGATACTGTAGTGACATAGAGATGCTGCTGCTCTCCCTCTTTTCCTGATAGCTTTCATAACACGAGGAGAAAAAGAGCTCAGTGTCCCAGGGGCCTTTTATAACCATTACAGAATTTTTTCTACAATGTGCAGACTTCAGTGCTGCGGCACATTATCAAGTCAAAGAACAGATGCTGCAGTATTGAAAGAACTGATTTATCTTGGGTTGATGTACCTATATTGGTAGATACATGAAAGTAAGATAATTATGATTATCAAATCTTAGGCTTGTAGGGTGTGGTTCATGATTGGGAGAAGATGAGGAGAAACTTGCCCGATGTAAAATGTTCCACTGTTGTCTGAGCATTACATTGGGCAGTTTGCCCTCTTGAAACAGGGAATGTTAGCCACAGTTGGAAAAGCGGTGTGAGGCAAGAAAGAAATGGTTTGTTTGGTACAGACTCTCATTTTCTATGAAACAGAAAAAAGAGACAAGCAAAAAAGGAAAAAAATATTGCCATGTCCGTGATTATTTTAATCCTCTAATGCACCTAATGAGAGTGGGATGGGGAAGAAACACAACTGTATTGCTACCTCACAGATTAAATTCTGTCTAGATTTTCTTGACCAGAGTACTTCAGTTCTTGGGTCTTTAAGCTCCTTTCTCCCTCCCCCATCGCCAGCCCGAATTATTATCTCCATGTCCTGGCTCAGTGCCTGCAGCTGAGGAATGCAGGCAATGTGCTTTGAATAGTTTGGTTTCAGGTAGCATCAAAGTTGCTTTTTCATTATTCTTTGACTGTCTTGGAAGAGATCTAAGTCTCTCTCTGTGTGCCAGAAGTTAACCGAAGGTATGGCGGGCTTACTGTCAGAGTGTGGTGGGACAGCTGCTTTATGCACTTAAAGATGGTTTTGACTTTCTGTGAAAAATGAACCCATGGAATTTGCAACACACCTACCATCTAAATTGCAGCCCTGCTATGCTGGTGCCTTCACAGCAAAGGCCGGAAAAAGTATGTTACCACTGCTGAACAAAAAAGGAATAGTGAAATTGCCAATTAAGTCTTGGGACAAATCCCTCTAATAGGATGCAGGAGGAATACAGTCACTCGGCTGCCACAGCTGTGACACATGGTGTCTTGCCTTCTCAAAAGCTCTGACCAATTTTAATATACTCAGCAGTGGATGTTGTTGAATCTTTTCCACCGATTTTTTTTGCCCAATTGTATAATGGTTTTGACCCTTCACTGTTGCTTGCTCTGCTCTGTTTGTGTTGGGCTGCTGGCTCTGTCACCCTTGCTCCCTTGGAGTAGCGTGTTATTGCGTGTGCTTGTCCACTGCAGCGCACGCGTTCAGCGGAGACCCTTGGGGTCTGACACGCTCAGCACTGCAACAGCTATCATTTTGGTACCCAGCTCCAAGATCACTTTATGCACCTAGCAAAACTTCTGTAAGGGATAGGGGAAGGAGGTGGGAAGTAAAATTTGAAATTAGTGAGAAGGAAGGATTATAAACAATTTACTGAAAGCCTGTCTAGATTGTTGCCATTATATTCCTTACCATTGTTAGTTCGGCTGTAGCTTTACCCTCTGAGCATCAGCGAATGCTTATATAGATGGATTATCAGAAGTTGTTGATAATTTTAGTGCAATTGTCTAAATTTGCTCTGAATAAAGTTACTGGAGAGGTGGTTAAAATTCCAACAGTGTGACTGTATTGGTGCTGCTGCCCTTGTGCTGGGTAAGAGGCACCAGTGGTGTCAGGGTGAGGAGCTGAAAAGTGGTAAGAAAGTTAATCTTAGATGACTCGTTTGTTAGTGGACGGAAAGAGCCTTCTGTTTCAGATTAGTATTATGTAGGCACTAGATTGGAAATTTGAAGTTAGCAGTAGCCCTCTTCTCCCATGTTATTTAAAGAGAAGAGCGTTATCAGCCCAGCCCAAGGCTCTTAGGGCCACTGCTGGTCCATTGCAAAACACATCCAACCGTGTGTGACCATGCCAATGTGTGCCACTGGCCTTTCACAGGATGGCTGTAGGCTGCTTTCCAGTCATCAATGGCTAATACATCCCCAGCATAAAACATTTGCAGCATAATCCCAATTTAAATGTGTATTACTACTATGTCATCATTAGTTATATAGGCAGCAATTCATCAGTCTTTCCCTGTTTAACAAAACATTCAAGTATGTACTTAATTGTAGGTGTATGGTTACATGTTGTTGGCTTCCAGAGAACCTTAATACATAACTGAGGTCAGCAGTGTACTGCTGTAGGAGTGCAAAAGAGGGCTATGGCAGGGCCAAAGCTCCGACCGTCTTATGTAAGCTGGAAGTTACATAAATAGGAAATATCTGTGTCAACCGAGTTTTCTTTTAGCATTCATTGGTAGTGTGGAACATTCATGCAAGATAGTTTGCTTTCTAAAAGACAAAACTAGGAGTCAATGAATGTTAGTTAACAGTGCTTTCAGAGTTGCTTCTTAATTTTTCCTTTTTTTTTTTTTTTTGAAAGTGGGTAAACTAACCTATCAAGGATGTTACCTTAACTCACCACATGTTGCAGCCTCACAGCATCTGGAAAATGATATTTCACCACTTTCTTGGTGTTTCTGCCAGCTATATGTTGCTGCTGCTGAAGTTGGAATTGTTTTTTTGCACTGTATTGCAAGTTATGTTTAGCCTGGTTGTGAAGCAACCTGAGGCATTTGTTCGTGCTGGCAGCTGGCACCCCAGAGCCCTGTGGAGCTCTGTGGTGGATCACCTGCAGAGAGGTTCTTGGTTTGATGGTGATGGCAACAGCTGTTGGAAAATTTCTCTTAGCCAAAACAAGGGACACCAGGTTAAAGATGTATATGCACTAAGCCAAATTAAGTCCTCATGATGTATTTTTTATCTGTTAGCATGTATGAGGTAATGTATATATTATCTTTCATATGCATTGGTATTCCCTCTGACCTGCTCATAGAAAGTGTACAATACTGTATCAGTGCCTTACTTTCTTCAGGACTAGTTACTGAGTGTTTACAAAAGATACATTTCTGAACCAAACATCTTGGAAAAACCTCAGGTGCTTATATCATGCGCTAGAGAAGCAGACATTCCCTTGCATCACAAACCCACAGGCTTTTGCCACTTCACCCTGATCTTCAAAGGCATGTCTAAGGCATCAAGTGGTCCAAAAGGTGAGTCTGGTTTCACCTTTTCTTTCGCCCCATTTCTGACTGCTACTGATAATGATTTTTTTTTTCCCATTTGATGATCCAGGCTGTTCTAATTTCCCCCAGGGGAGCTAAAGCTCCTTTTTGGCATTGTTTTCAGTGGAAAGTAATCCGTTTTCAAAGTGGTACTGGGTAACCTCAGAAGACAGGGTGGAATGTTGGGCTCAGGCTGATACAACAAGGTTGATTAAAGATTCCTATCTCACATCTTGTTTTAATTTTTTTTTTCCTACGTTGCTTCTGTCTGAGTCCTAGATTGCAAGGTTAAATACAAACTTTAACTAGCAAGTTGTTCCCTGCGCTTTGTGTGAATCTTTTGCTTCCCTTGGTATTGAAATAATGACTTTTTGAATGTTTTAAAATGTAATTCAATCTGAAAGAAGAAAAAAAAAAAACTATTTCAAAGCAAAAGGAAGAAAACCACAGCATTCGAACAGAAAGTAGGTGTTGTGGGTGAATTTGTTGATTCCAGAAGGAAAGTCCAGTAGAGCTGCTTTTCCTGCACGGTATCGGTGACATGTTAAAACATGCACATGATTGGTAAGTGATTTCATGAAGATTTTGAGAGAAATAATAGTTCTAGTCACAAACAACACTAAAATTGTTTTTACAAGTGAATCATTTAAGGT